AGGGGCGGGGGGGGGGCCGACTTGTGTTGTTCGGTGATGGGGGAGGGGGATGGACACGGCGTCTTTACGAACGCCAAAACCTCTTGAAGGCCTTGGCACCCCGCTTGTACGCAGGCTGAGAACAGGAAGGAAGCTACGGCTGGGAGATTTTCCAACGTGAACGCCAGACAACCCGCGTCCTAGTCTGCAACAGTGAACTGCATTGCAGTCGTCGGGGACCCAAAGCACTGCACCACAAAAACCGTGATGATGCTTGAAATGACGAATACCAAGTCGTTGAGATGGCGGTACATCTCATTCATCGGCAACTGCTCCTGCCGGACCACAAACAGCACGCTTTGACTCTCCAGTTGTGGTGATAGATGGAGCAGCAGCATCTGTCCCACAAAATATGCGCCCATTCCCGCCGTCAGTCCGAGCACCGTGGTGTCTACGCTAAGGAATGTCGTGTACGTCATCACCAGCCGAAATACCGTTAACAGAAATCCTCGGATGGAGCACATGATCATCCACGCATTTAGGACCAATGACACCCACACAATGCGTTGCTCCGCACCCTCACTGTGTGGAGTCGCGAGCCCGTAGGTCTCTAGAAAGTTCACTACCCGTGTCGCAGTGTCTTCGGGGAGGGGAGAGGCAGTGGGATTGTCGGCGGACGACATGCCCCATCGCAGTAGGCTGATAATGGTGAACACAAGCTTCAGTACAGTGTGGAAGAGAAGCAGCACGCCGAGGAGCGCGTCCGCCCACCCACGCCACGTGGCGCCGCTCTCCGCCGAGCGCACCAAGGAGTCCATCTCGCTCATCTCGAGGAACACCGCCATGCTCACAGCCTGTATGCCGTTGCACTCCGCCTTCAGCTTCGCGACGTCGTCGCCGCCCCGGCGGAGACCACCGCCGCCAACGGTGGAGCGGAGTGATTTTGTCACCCAGTTCCACACTCGCGGTTTCCCACCGCCAACGGACGGCGCCGCCGCGCCCCACGCCTCCGCAATATGGCGCTGTTTGGATATCCACAGCGAAAGTAGATGGCGCTGCCGCTTCGCCAGAACGCCCAGCGCGGCTCGCGCCCCCTCACCACTTCCCTTTACCACTAGCGGCCGAATGAACGCGGCGGGTGTTGTCACGGCGGCGTAGCCTGAGAGAACGCCCACCGCGAGGACGCCGAGAAGGGCGACGCCGGTGGTGGCGGCGTCCCACGATATACGCGCAACATCCCCCTGCACGCCGAAACCCGGGAGGCGGCGAACCAACACCAACAGTGGAGCCCGCACACCAAACACAACAACGAGAAGGCTGCAGCCCACCAGCAGTGGGAGGAAGTGGCGGAGGCGCAAACTCCGCAAGAAGGACCAGAGGATGCCTAATGGGCAGAGCACCGAGATAATGACAATGTCGGCCACGATAGCAAGGCGTAGCGCGTGCGTGCAAAAGCCCATGGAAAAATATAAACTCCCCATTTTCGAGGCATCTAACAGACCGACAATGAAGATGAACGTCGAGAGGGCGAAAATGGAAACAAAGCACAGCTGTGTAGTGGTTCGTTCAATGGCGTATACGAAAACCAGCCGGCCAAAGAGGTTACCAAGGTAACACAACACCAGGAACAGCAGCACGCCAGCAAGCGTCTCCACCATATTTCCTTAGCACTTCTTCTACCAGGTTGCTCTTGCTCTCTGGCTTGCGCCACTGCAACGCATAACACTAAGCAAACAAATGATAGGGAAAAGAAAAAAGAACGCTACCCCAACAGAATATACATACAAATGAGCTGAAACAGAGACAGTACACACCGACCATTGGGCGTGATGTCATTTTTCGTTTTTTTGTTTTTTGCCAATCGCGAGATGGGAGTCACAGGCACTCCCAACCACATCGGCAACGATCAACCCCCTCTCTCCGCAGCACTCGTATCACCGTCGTGATGGCCGTCCTGTTCAGAGGAAGAAGTCTGAACGGAAGCAACAGAGTCAGACTCTTCCGCCCACCGCCTCACAGTCTCCCGGAATGCATTCCAGTCGTCAGGGTTCGGCACGGCAACAAGATGTGGACCGTCCTCTCCGTCAGCGCCCGAGTTGTCTGTGTGGCTGTTCATGTCATCAGTTATCGCAGATGTCGCGCTCCAACTGCCATCCCTCTGCTCCTCCACCTCTTCTGCTTCTGCTTCCGCTTCTGGAGGCGTTTTTGCGTCCAGCCCGGGCGGCAGGGCCGGGCACGCTGCAGCGGTTTGCTGTAGGGGAGGCCCCGTTCCTGGTTTCATTTCCTCTTCTTTCAGCCGTCGCCAGTGCTCGCGTTCGGCACCGGCAGATGTGTACGTTGCGTGGTACGCACGCAGCCGTTCCTGTGACCCATCCACGTCAGTCCAGCCAAGTGCCATACGAACGAGGACGCACACAGCGAAGATGGCAGCTGCAACGCAATAAACAGCCAGCACCACCAATGCTGTGTCGAGACAAAGAAAGAACACATGGCGCGGCTCCGCACGATCCGGCACCGCCCACAAGAATGGATCCGCGTCTAACTGAAGTATGCTACACCTTGTGCAGCCCTTCGCGCCGCCCAGACGCAGCCGCGCCTTCACTCGGTGCCACGCGTAGAGGACCTCGTAGTAACCGTGCAAGGCATCGATGACGCCGTGCTGCAGCAGCAAGTTGTTTGATGACACCAGTGGCCAGTCGATAGGTGGTCTACCGTCGAGTGATATGAGCTCGCTCGCGGATCGCAGCGCCAGCCCCCACACCCGCCATTGCCCGTGCAGCTGCACACTTGGGAATGCCAAATAGGCGTGTGGAAACACCTCTGTGAGTAGTAACCGTGAGTCCGCGTCTGATGCGTGCACGAAACAACTAATCGGGTGGCAAACCCGACCCTCGTCCACGCGAGCCACTGTAAGAGCATCAATAGGCAACCACTGCACCGCGCCCACCTCGTGAGGCGCAAACTGCACCGTCGGCGTCAGCTCCCCAGTATGCAAAAAGACGAAGCGAGACTGCACCGCACACGTTACGCCCATGTGACGGCTACGGAGGGGGTAATCGCGGAGGCGTCCGAGGAGAATAAACTCGTGGGTCCGCAGAGGAATGCCGAGCATCCGGTGCACCTCGCGGCAAACGGTGTGGAAGTCGTCCGCGTCCTCGTCGTCGTCGCGGGGGCCGCCGGGGAACGTCACGCTTCCACTCCACCGGTCAGCGGCCAAATCAGCCCGCCTAAGAAAGAGCATGCGCAGTGAGGAAGGCGCCGTCGCGTCGGTGTTGTTTGCGAGATGCTGCAGCAGCTGCACGGGTGTGTGGCTCGCGTCGCGACACGCCAACATCCGGTGCAACGTGCGCTGCTGCGCCTCGTCGCCGAAACGCAGGAGCATGGCGACGGCGGAGCGGTGGGCGCCGGGCACATAGACGTGAAGGCGGCGCTCGGCCATGCGCTGGGCGATGCTCAAGAGAAACCTGACATCCGCAGCAGGCAAAGACATCACTATTAGTGACGGCTGTCAAAAATATTAAGAGGCAACGCAAGCAAACACGGAAAGAAAGAAGGAAATAAAAGGGCAGTGGAGTGCCGAAATGTGACAAGTAGCGCTGCCATACTTCTTTTCAATACACTACGGAGGCAAAGAGCTTGCATTCCCCTTCAGTAGAATAAACTCTGTTGTAAAGTATGCGTGTGTTCTGCCTCGCTTAGTTCTCTTCTTTTACGCTTATAATGCGTTTACTCCTTTATCCCATTATACATATATATATATATATATATATATATA